CCCCCCGCTCTCGTCCCGTTTCGAGAGGTACGTCCGCATACAAACGTCGGGATCGACCTATAGATACTGATTAGATATTGCAGATATCGCATTGCCCCTTGTCCAAAGGCATGGAAACCTTGCTGCCCCTGCCTACCTAGATGAACCCTGGACCCGCAGCTTGACCGGCGACGAAATTCCGCAACCGCAACGCGTCCAGTCGTGTTACACCGAGCAACAACGCGCACTGATGCGACGTACACGCACTATGTGAAGGCTCACGTATCATGCGAAAGGCTGAATCTACAGTCGGCACCAGCGGGCACTATCGTCGTTCTGAAGTCCTCCTAAGAGAAGCTTATAAGCAAGATAACCGGGTGTTGCGGCGTCTCGTCATCGGAGGCGGGCTTCGTGGTTTTGTTAGAGGGGTTGTCTTCATCTGTTGCCAGCGCGTTTGTTTTCGTTGTACGAGATACTTTGCGTTTCCTTGTCTCATATACCCCAAGTCACGAACTCATCATGTCGGCGCGAATCCATGTAGAGCATACTTCTGTCCCCTATTCCTATCAAAATCGATTCTTGATAAAAGCCCATCAGCCCGTCCACCAACTTCGCTCGATTGGCTTGGAAGTTCCGGAAATACCCAACGCGCGACTTTTATGACAACAATATATGCCTAAAGCATCTCGCATCAAGCGCCCTTCGTTCACGAGCCTTTCTCTCGTCTCGCAGCAAGAGTGTAGAATATACTACCATCGTATATGCCCCGTATGTCTTCTTTCATCATTCGGCCGTCCTCGGGCCAGAGCATAATATACGTGGCAACCCCTAGGTTTGTCAATAACACATTCTCAGCAACCCTAGTAACGCAGCTTACATTCGAAGAAGGCACCGCCCCAACCAATCGGATCAGCAATGCACCGCTGACCCTTCAGTACGTTGCTCACGTCCCAGATCGTCAGATAGTCTCTTCCTTCCGCATACTTCGCAAATATGTCTTCGAACTTTTGCGGCAAAAAGCGGCCTTCGTGATCGTACGTTCCGGTGTCACTACCATGCTTATCCCTATGCACATTCTTGAGGAAAAGACCTGAAAGGGTAGCGCAACAAGTCAGGATCTGTCTCACTTGCAGTTCGTGGCTTGGATTTCTTACGAAAGAACGGGTCAGGCAGCCAGCCCTCGCACGTAGGGTATGAGAAGTTCGCATGGATCACGAACACCGAGACCATGGATAAAATGATACCGAATCCGAGCCGATAGAAGCCAATGAATGTGTCCTGTGGCCAGAGGATTCCATCGTGATCGCGATCGAAGAAGTCACAATGTTGTTGTAGAACAGTCTGGTGAGAATGCTGCTCCGCCCAACCTTTGGTACCTTGAGGCGACTCTGCTGATGGGGCAAGATTTGCACGGGCGGTACCTACTCGTGTTAGCAACTTGGCTGTTGAACTTTCCGTAAGCGGAGACATACCGGTGTGTTGAAGCTTTGAGCCTTTTGTGCTCATGTACGGTCTTCGTTGTTCGGTAACAGGCACGTCACGGATTGAGCTCACCACTCCACCGTCTCCATTAGTGAGTCGCTCGGGATGTCTCCTGACTTCTGACATGTTTTTACTATTGCGGGATGGAGGTTTGCGTGGATGTTGAGCGCGAAGGGAAGGACAAATAAAAGGAACGCTATTTCCAACTTCAATGACATCACGCCAGCTGAAACAGCCATGGAGCATCAACCAACTTCTGAATCATGCCCAAGTACACCGTCACCGATTCGTCATCCCAAGATTTCACATGCATCGCATTCTGTTGATACCCCGAAGCAGTAGTGTTGTTGTTAATCTTGGATGATTTCCGGCTCGCGCCGCTACCTAGGCATGTACATCACCTGGGCAGCGAACCGGTCGCCTGGTACCCCATCAAGATTGCGTTTCGTCGTATGTACAGTACCCTTTACCGTGTATTCGACACGGAGCTGATGTTCAATATATGTAGGAAGTTTCTGCATGTATCTGCGTTGCGCGCGACTTTGCACTCCAGGGCTGGCTTCGATGACGTCATTCGTTGGCTCTGTCTACATCTGGTCGCGATGTGAGCCTAGTTATGCCGTTGTAACCTGACATGAACTCCAGCAGCTTTGCCATACTGCCTCTACAGGGCTATTTGTATGAATAGGATTGCTCTCTTTGTTAGGTCCCCATGCTCGAATGCAGTCTTGACTGTCTTCTCAAGACACTCAAACGGAGCGTCCACTGACAGTTGTGAAGGTATCGTGACCTGGGTAACTTTGTACGACCTGTTAAGCATGATAGTATTAAATGTATCGTCGGGGAAGTCTTTCGACTAGTTGTTCGTGTCGGCGTTGCGTCAAGAGTCATCAGCGACCAGATTATGCGCTCGACAATCCCCGGCGCCACAGGCATCACTGGAACACATCTGCACCGCTCGGATCTCTTCTACGTCGACTGAGCCCTAGCGAAATCCTATATATACCCGTGTCACTTGCTACTGGGATGCCGACTGGTCCGTCTATTCTTCTCACGAACGGTACTCTCATAACCTCATGCTCTCCTAGGGTGGAAAGAATGCGCGGGCAGATACAGATAATCGTCTCGTAATTCGTTGATCAGAATCGATACACTGGGCAGTCGTCTTGAACATTTGCGCAAGGATAGAAGACGACATCTGCTGCGTTGGCTTCGCAAGCTTTTCGATTGTGAGAAGGTCTATTCAATTACTGTCGAAGGTCTCGACTTTCTACTTGCGGATACTGGTGTGTGTGAGGCAAGGGTCGTGAAGGTTGTTTTGACAGCGTCTGAACAAATCCTGTAGTCTGCAGTGTCTGCCAGAGGTCATGAGTCGGGTACTACGCGTATACAAGTAGGCTCCTAGAAAAGACGTCTTGATGATATTCTCGTCGCGGTTTATATCACTATCTCCGCTATCGTCAGATGGTGAAAGGCCGCACTGACTCTCGATTGCGTGCTTACTCACTCAACCCTTCACTGAGCCCGCTCCGCCACCGCCTACACGCGCCCCTTCACTCACCTGCCCGCCAACAACCTCAGAGATTCCCATGTCTATCTTGGTAGTATATACCGCTGGTCGCGGTCTTATCGTACTATATATTATATGGCGTTTGAAAATCCTCCATCAAAACATAAGGCATGGGGTCATTGGGACCAAGCGCACGTCTTACATCACGGTCTTTCAGGTCCGTATGTAATGGCCTGAGTTCGAAACTGGGTGTTGGATCGGTTAGCTGACAGTTGATCTTCTGCGGTTTCGAATTCCAGTGGTGGCCTTTGTTATGATCTGGATGGCCGTCCCTTTTTTTGCTCTTTTTTGCGCCTTTTCGCGCGATCGTGTTCTTTTTGCCCTTCTCTTTCTTTTTGCTGCGTTCGACTTCATTTCCATATACCACGGTATTAGGTGGGTGTATGTGCGATTAGTATTCCTCCACTTTCCGTCAATTTTGCACTTCCGCCAAGAAGGTACGCGAGAAAGACTGTCCTGAGGTCGATGAGAGCACATTCCTTGTCGCTAAGAGGTCTTCCAGGACATCTTCAAGAGAACGGAAGGGATTAATAGGGTTAGACGAGAGCGTGTTAACGCTTACACACATAATCAACTCTAAGTTGACCTAGAGCACAGCGGAGCCTGTCGTATACGAGTACCCCTTGAAGACATGTCTGATGTTTAATAATACGTTGAGGTTAATCGGCGAACTAGATGAAGATACCAAGAAAAGATGAAAATAAGCTGAGGATGACCAGGCTCCACGATGTTTTGTCGATGTGAGGCTATGGATTTGCGGAGCGGTACGGAAGAATAATGCACCGAGCCTCGGCTCATCCCCAGCTTCCAACATCCGGGGCAAGCTCCGATGACGAACATCTACCCGTGTGTCGCAATGGCTATCCATATTTCCCCTTACGACGCTTGCTTTCTTTGTCCAACCCATACCAATCATCAAAATGGATAACAGCTCACTCTTCGATGTCAAGGTACGCACATAACCCACCCGCACTTCCGACCTTCCAACTGACTCTCATCCAGGGCAAAATCGTCCTCGTCACAGGCGGCGCGAAAGGCATCGGTCGCATGATCAGCGAAGGCTTCGTCCAAAACGGTGCTACAGTATACATATCGTCTCGCGACGCCAAAGCCTGCGAAGAAGCGTGCAAGGAATTGAACGCCCTCGGCAAAGGCAAGGCCGACTTCATCGCAGCCGATCTATACAAGGAAGATGCAGCAAAGAACATAGCCGACGAGCTGAAGAAGAGAGCAGGCAGTGAGTTCTCCCGTGGGCTGTCATCTGTACCACCGTCGCGAGACAATGAGCAGTCGCTGACAATGTACAGAGCTCGATGTCATCGTCAACAATAGCGGAAGCAACTGGGGCGAGTCGTACGACAACTATCCCGCTGCTGCATGGGACCGTGTCCTAAACTTGAACCTCAAACGCGTCTTCCAGCTCACACAAGCCGTCACACCTCTCCTCGAAGCCGCTTCTACCCCGAGCTCCCCAGCACGCATCATCAATATCGGCAGCGTCGACGGCCTGCGCGTCCCCGCGCTCGAAACTTTCGCCTATTCTGCTTCCAAAGCCGGTCTCCACCACATGAGCAGAGTGCTAGCGAGCCACCTGGGCAAGCGCGGAATTACAAGCAACACGATCGCGTGCGGCCCCTTCCAGAGCAAGATGATGAAGGCGACATTGGAGAAGTTCAAGGATGTCATTGAGAGCGGGATACCATTGGGACGCATCGGCAGTCCGGAGGATGTTGCGGGCACTTGCATTTGGCTATCGAGCCGCGCGGGGTCCTATGTTAACGGCGCGACTATCGCGTTGGACGGTGGTAGCGTCGTTGGCGCCAAGTTGTAAATATAACTTTTGCATATCACACCACATTAACAAGAGTTGCATCGATCAGACATGACAAAGACTGGATATCCTCAAAACGTAACTGATCTCTATAGACATCTAGCAGAAGTACATGTATACCTCAAACCTCCTCGCGACCTACTCAGCTGTCGGCCCCATCACCGTGGTGTTCATCAACACCGTCAGTTCAGCCAGGGCCCGGCTCTGATCCGGCTTCTCCACATCCTCCTGAAGAATGGCCCTAACCTGCTCACGAGTCGCCCAGAAGCTCGTCTCATCAACCACGCGATGCTCCTTCTCGTTCACCTCACTTGGATGCTTGAGGTCCTTGTCGATGGGAAGGAGCAAGGCCGCCAAGAGCTTCTCATCCCGATCAACCTTGGACATGCCTGGATGCATCAAGTCCTTATCATCAAAGGGGTCGAAATCGTCAGCCGGCTGATAATCCTTGGAAAAAAAGCCGAAATGTTGGGCCGCCGCAAAATTGCCCGCAAGTTCCTTGGTCCGCTTCAGGTCCAAGTTCGCCTGGGCGAGCTCTTCCTTGTCGTCAACCTTCTGCTGCCGCTTCTCGGACCTCTCGTTCAGACCAATCAGCCACTGCAACGTCATCGCCGCACCGAATCTCTCAAAGATGTCTTCGTTCAGATGGCCTTGGCGCACGGCCCGCATGAAGTCGTCCGGTTTCGGCATGTTCGGGAGGAATCCGGCCTGGGCCTTGAGAATGTTGACAAGCTTGTTTACCGTCTTGCTTCGCCTCGGACTAAAGAAGTGGAAGTCAAAGGGCGAGTTCTGCCATAGGGCGACGAAGGCTTCGCGTTGGGTGAAGTTGTTTTGCAAAGGGTCGTACTTGAAGACCAGTGATTCAATCCAGGCCTATGTTTTATTAGCTGTGTGCATAGGGCATGAGGAGGCCAGGAGGGTTTCAGTATATTTTAAACCTCTGTGGGAAGTTTGAAAAGACACTGAAGATGGACAGGTAGTGCTATCGGGAAGATGACTTACACGCAGAAAGACCTTGACAAACTCCTCGCACCCCTCTTTGCAGTACTTCGGATCGAATCCTGACGCCCACGCGAATGCCATCAGGAGGATGTTGAACCGGATCTGGTCATAGAACCGCGAGAACGAATGGCCCTTGTCTAGACCATAGAAGAAGATCGCCTGATTGACGATGAGAGGCAAGCTCTTGTCGGCGAGGAAGTTGGCCTTGGCGATGTCGTTGTACAAGAGGAAGAAGGTGGTGAGTTGGAGGAACGGAGGAGCTTGAGGAACGACTGCCTCGTCGGGATGGAAGTAGATGCTGTAGAGAGAGGGCAGGAGGACGATGCCTTTGTTAACCTTGTACGTCTTGGTGGCAAGCTTCTCTTCAGCATCGCGATGCAGAGCCTTGACTTCCACAACATCCGGATGCTCAGGCTCAGCGTTGTCGTCCATGGCGACGTCGCCGTCGCGCTCGCGGTTGACGTCAACGTTGTGCTCCGCGACGTTCTCGCATTCGGTAAAGAAGACGATGTCCCCAGACTCGACGCCGTTGTCTACGTTGTCTACGCTAACTCCGGTGTCGGGAAGATCACCCATGTTGACGTCGTTGTCGTTCGGGCTGTCCATGATGTCGGTGGTGTTGTGTATACGGGCGTCAATATACAAACGAGTGCGATGGAGAAAGCAAGAAGAGAGCGGGGATATTGCGAAAAGTCGTCAAAACAACAAAAAGGTCCGTGAGCGCACAATCCGTAGGCGACGGAAAAACTAGATTTGCGGTCAGCCGACAAGTTCTTCCGCTGATCCTGTTGTAGTGAAAGGAGAGGGTGGCGAGTTGCGTACCTGCGACCCCTGTCTACTCTGCAAACGGGCGTCGGCGACATCGCTAGCGATATCGAAGCAGCACTTGTTTCGAGGGGGGACTGGAGGATGGTGGAGGATATATATGTAGGTGTCATGTGGAAGTGCAGATCGCTCGTCTATATACATGTCGCGAGACACATTGAACAAGCAGTGAGTGTTTGCGACACCAACGGACTGTGTTCATTTAAAACAGGAGCTCGTAACAAGTGACACCCTCGAGGTCTGTCGACCTGATCAGCTACGTCTCTTGTTTGTTGCTCAAACAGATGTCGGTGACATGACGACATGCGTTAAGGAAGAGCGCATTACGGAAACTAGAGATGGACGTACCTAGGTAAGATGCACAAGCAGATGACAGTAACGAAGTCAAGATGATCGACTAAGATCGTGTCGTGTACGTCCTAGAAGAAGAGATACAGCACCCAGGACATGATCAAGTCCGCGCAGGGAAACAGTTAGGAGGATAGATACATCGTAGACATACCAACGTCGAACATCCAGACATCTGAGCTTGGACACCCATACTACTTCTCGTTCACTTTCCATTCCCTGTATGATTTGTCCTCGGGCTCTTCTTCATTCTGTTCACCCTACTCCTCATTCTGTTCATCCACCTCCCAGTCGGACCAATTACGCTCGTCGTCAGTATCAAGAAGTGACACACGCAGGCTGTTCAGTTTCCTCCTCACAGCTCGCAACTCCGTTTCCAAGTCATCCACGTCCTGCTTCTCGAATATCAATCGCTCTCTGAAGGCCTTCGCATTCTTCTTTTCAGCAGCCAAGTCTTCCTTCAAAGCATCTTGACATTCTACCAGCGAAGAGATCCTGCTATCCCTTTCCTTGACTTCCCATCTGAGTTTCGTGTTCTCCTTAGTCAACTTGCGTATGCGGTATTGATCCCGCGTAAGGGGAGGTTGGGCGACGGTTTTCTGACGCTCGCCGGGTGTTGGTATCTCTTCTTCTTGGGACGCTCTAGGTTTTAGGTTAGTGGGACTGCATTAAGGCGCTGGGACAGAGTGTGCAATTTACTTGGTTTGTACCCGATCGTCAGAGTTGTAGCTTTGGGAGGGGTTTGACGAGGACCCAAGGTGTGGTATCATAGAGGAATTCATCGCCGAGAAATCCTCGCTACGCATTCTAGCGGCTTCAATATCGAGGGAATAAATCTCAAGGAAATTCATTTTTCATATAAGGCAGTTTGGAATGGGGATGAGGTTTTGCAAAGTCGTGGGAGTTAAATCAAAGCCAGTTTTCAAATCCACACTCGGTACCAAAGATAAGGTAATTATCGTACCAACAAAGCGGTAGTAGCAGTAATAGTAATAACCATGTTCTCATTGACTCTACATATCCCATTCCAATCATAACCTCATCATTCGTAAGTATACCAACTCTTTTTTAGCTCCCTCATCGCATCCTCAGCTTCCTTCCACTTCCTAGTCCCCTTTTCCGCGTCGCCCATCCACGTCATGATGCGTACTCTGTTTTTCATATACTTGGACTCTGCCCTCTTTCTCTCTTTCGCTGTGTCCTTCAGGTAAGAAAAGTCGTCGTATCTGACAGCTTCCTTCCAGACGTCGCGCATCCTTGGACTCCACAGACAGCAGCTGGACCCGACATCAGGATCTTCACCAGGGACTAGCTGGATCGACTTGTTGAACATGTGCGGTATGGACGATGACGTGGATCTGGATTGTGTGGCGGGCCAGATGAGCTCGTCGTAGCATTGCTCACAGACTGTGAACTCTGGCAGCGAAGGGATGAAGTGCCATGGTTTGCGGAACAAGATCTTGTACCTTTGGCACTCGCCTTTGTAGGAATTCTCGCGGAGCAATAGGACGAAGCGGCTCAGATCAGGGAGTTGACCGGACAACTCAGCCTCGACATCTAGCTCGACGAGCAGATCCAAATACTTTGGGAAGCGGGTTGAGCTCGTACGCAAGCTGCATACGTGCCTGTCGTCCTTCGGCATCTTAGCGAAGCAACCACGAAGAGAAGGCAGCAAGGCCTCAAGCATCCTCCTATCGCTCGAGCATATAGCAAAGTTGGCTACACGGGTACCGTCGCGTGGGTTTGTAATGCCGTACCAGCTAATGCGGTCTTCTGCACCAGCCTCACGATCTCCAGGACACGGTTTGGCTACTGTGTCCATGACACCTGCAATTGCGTTGATCAGATCGAGCGATTTGCGACCTCGCTGAAGCGTCAACAGCCACGCAAGACGTGCCCATGGGCTGCTGAAATCACAGCTCCGCTCCAACGAATAGTCGTTCAGCCATACCTGTTTGAAGTCCACGTCGAAGGGTGTACCGGCGAAGACACCCTCGTAACAACTAGGGCAAATGTTGAAGTTCTTGTTGTCTTGGAGCGCGTACCAATCATCGTAAGGCCCAGATTTGTAAGGTCTTGGGCAGTCTGGAAGTTTTCTGTCCATTGAAGCAGTCCTTCGAGATGACCTGTCACGGCGGCCATCGTGAGAGCGGAAACTACCCGACCTGGACCTCCTTGGTCGTGAAGGCTCCTCCAATGTCTCTGTGTCTTGCCTCCTAGCCCGGGAAGGTAGATCTCGCGTGTACGGCGAGCTAGGAATTGCCGGCGACGTCGCTCTCGGGATGTCAACGTAGCTTTGCCTCGGTGAGCAGACGGTGGAATGATCGAATTGATAGTGCTCTTCGGGTGGCATAAAGACGTCAATGAGCTGGTCGTCGATGGGATATGGCAAAGAGTCGCCTGTGGATTGCCTCGCGGGAGATGGACTGTGCACATCGATGCGAGGCCTCGGGAGTGGCATGGTGTCATGTCGGCCATATCGAGAGGGTTGTCTTGACCTGTCGTCGGAAGGTGCTGGAGGATAGGTGGAGTGCCAATCTGACTCGGATACGGGTCCGCGACCGCGGCCGGGCGAAGAAGGTTGGAACGAAGAAGCGAGCGGAGAGGTTGGCCGAGGGCCACCGCGGGACGATGGTCGAGAGCCTGGAGGGGAGTCTCGCAGTCGGGTAGGCAGCTGAGGCGAGGGCGCTCGATACGATGGCGAGCTTGGTCTGGACAGCGGGCGTGAGCTGTTAGCATAGACAGTATCTACGGGCACAGGCCTCGATCGCCGCGTGCTGTGCACCGAAGACGAAGACGACCGCGGCGACTCAGCATTGGGGTACTCCTTGTACGAGCCTGACGAATCACCCTTACGTATCGTCGGCAGAGGACGCTGCCCGGAGTCGTGTCGACGCGGCTCGGGCCTCTCCTGTGTATCGCGCAGGTTTGTCCTCAGGTCCTCCCTTTGCAGGTCGCTCTTCACGAAGCTGTACCGCGCGGGCTTTCGTTCGGTTCGCAGGTGGGTCGTGCTGTGCGCTTCGGAGTCAGAGTCAGAGTCGAACACGTATTCTTTCTTTGACGCCGGCGACGTGTAGGAATTGTGTCGGCTTTCAGTTGGCATCGGTCTCGACGGTCTGCTCGCATCTGGCCTGGGATGGCTGCTGTTCGAAGGCGTGATTGGTTCTGGCGAGCGCATGTAGTCTGCAGGCGAGGGCGCGGTAGACTCCTTCTGGGGCTTCGAGTAGCCATAGGGCGCCCTCACGCGCTCAGTAAAGACGGGAGGGTCTGGGACGTCGGTGTTGATGTGCGACATGCCCCCACGGTCAGCAAAGCTGCGCCGGCGCCGGTCCCGAAGCGTGCTGCCATCGTCATCGGTGCTCGATTCGGAAACAAGCACATAGCGGCGGTCGTGTTGTGCGACGCTCGGCTGCTCAATCTCGTCGAGCAGGGAGTCTTGGTCGACGGTGCCCCGCGTGTTGCTCGGCGGCTCACCCTCGGCCTGCCCTGACGACCCCACGGAGGACGGCGCCTCTTTTGCTAGCGCCTCCCTCTCGTCCTCGACGCTCGGTGACGGCGGCCATGTCTGCTCCTGCCTGTGCGACCTGTACGAATGCGGCGCGGGTCGTCGAGGTGGCAGGGGTGGAGAAGTGCGGGGCTCATAGGTGTAGGTGTTGTAGGACGGCGTGTAGGACGATGTGTATGGATTGCTCTGGCGCATGTCTGCCAGCTGCTCGCGCGCCTCAGCTAGAGTCTTATCGCTCCTCGCATAGCCGTAGGGGTCCGTCTCTCTTGATGTATAGTGGGAGTCATGGCGCGGGCGGTGGTGGTACCGGCTGTCGTATTCGTAAGACATGTATGGGCGTACGTGAGCGATGGTCAGGCGAGCAGTGAGAGACTAGGCAGTGGCTTTGGCGAGCATGCAGCTTGGGCAACTAGCTAGGGCGGCCTCAAGAGTAACAAGACGAAGATAGCGGAGAGGGCAGGTTTACATAGCGCGGCAACAACGGCCATGTTGGATGTACAAAGATGCTAGGTGACGCATGTAGCCGTCTGTGAATTGCGGGTCGCGGCTTCCTCGCGCCTTCGCCCTGCACTGTCCCCACCGCCGGTAAAGCCCTATTTGCTCGCTTCCCGTCCTCTGTTCAACGCCCACCGCCTGTTCGCACATCTTCGCCTTGCTGAGATATCTGGGTTATTCCTTGGAAGTATCGTCACGACACAGTCATCTTCATCGCATTTGCTCGTGTGAACATGCGAGTGTTGTACCTGTATTATCGAAGTGTCGTATCAAGCATCATAGTTCCCTCTAGCATCTTCTAAACCCTTGTCTGAGCGAAAAATAGCAGCATTCGCCATGATGCTACTGCACAGTTGCACTATGACTTCATGGTACCTGGCCGATTCTTTTCTTGTATAGATCCAATAGTTATATGCCATATTATGGCCATGGTTTGTGGTGCATCGACTGTAGATCTGCAGATTTGGGAAGCCGCTACCTGCCCACATGCAAATATAGAACACGACCCTTCAATAACATCATACACCTATCCTCATATAATCGTAATACATACAACTACCTCGCGCCCATGTCTACTTCAAAACCTCCCCTCTTCGCACGACCGGCAGCCTCCGGAACAGCGGTAAACGGCACTTAGCACAGCCACACGGGCTGCAGCCACCTCACCACGTGCCTCACCAACTTTTCAACCCTATATCATAATAGAGAACATGATTCCACACATCACGCAGTTGCAGAATAACTTCCAAGGCGCAAGAAACTGACCGTCGTCTTCAGCCTCCATCCGGTCACAGTCTGCCTCGCGCCTCCATTCCAAGGTTTCTACTGCCTACACGACTGAACCGACCGGTATGCAAAATCACAAGCTCACAACCAAGTGAAGCATTCACCGGATATGCGGCTCTGCTCGTACTCAAAGAACCATACCTTCTCGTAATCACAGAACTGAGTCGTTGTAATCAAGCCAGGCGCGTGACGCATGGAGCTGCAGGCAGAAAGTGGCTGTGCAAGGCGTTCCCGGAAGCCGCCGAAGACGGAGCACTGAACCACCGATATATATACCAGTCGCAGGAGAGACTCGGAACTCTGCAATCCTACTATGCCAAAAGATACAGCTATCTCTGTTAAATCCGATGGATTCCACATTTTCTGCTTGAACTGGTGTGAACCAGCGTCGTAAGCCCGATAACTCCATACTGACACGTTGTGTCCGCGGCATGGATACGCCCCGTCCTACCTAGGTATGGTATGCTGTAGCAACAACTACGTATATAAGCTGTAGAGAGAAGGTAAGACTGCATACGACTCAAATACCAGAAGAAGCAACAGCAGTCAACCAACAAACCTCATTGACTCAATCCCAAACATGTCCGCCCCCACTCCCACCGTCAACCTACCCAACCTCACAACCCACCAATCCATAACCGACACCCTCCATCGCCTGACCCTCGGCCTAGACAGCAACGACCGCTCCCTCGTAGAGTCCGCCTGTCACAAAACCCCCCAGATGACATTTACCTACGGGCCGCTGGGCGCCCAACAAACTGTCACAGGCTTCGACGCAATCAATCCATTGTTAGATCGCGTCTTCAACCTCATCACCACACATACCGTGAGCAATGTGAGAATAGAAGCGGAGAGCGAGAATGCGACCTTCGCGCGCATGACG